CTAAGGGTCATTAAATACAAATGACGTTCTAGTTGCAGTCTTCTCATCAACAAGAGCCAGTGAACTCTGCACTCAGACCTTCTCAACCTTCACATTCATAAGGTCATGGGACTCTTGCACCAGACATCACCTTTCTACCAACAGTGACATTTTTGGGTTTCCTCTGAACCTAAGGCCTAGCCTTCACATCTGCTTCCCAGCCTCTGAAAGACAGAGATCTATGCATTCCTTGGACCTCCATGGGTCACTGGTCTTCTACCTTCAGAAAAGACCATGGCCTTTTCTGTGTTGCTCAGGAAGCTCAACATTCTGAGCATCCTGATGACCATGTCCAGATAGATCATCTTGCTAGCCTTTATCCATCAATGTTATGTACAGAGACTATGAAAAAGTAAAAACAGTTTGCTTACCTGTAACTGGTATTCTTTGAGTGGTCATCTGTGCAGTCATCTGACCGACATGCCTTTCCCAAGCAGGTAGAAGGAACTGAGTAGGAAGATGTGAGTTGAGCATGCACGGATAATATTACTTTCTGTACAGTTCTGTGCATGACTACTTGGAAGTAAGTTTCATTTTGTTCAACAGGTCTTATTCCCAGATAGGGGTGTATAGAATTGCAGCCTAACAGTTCAGTCCTAAGAACATTTTCCTTGGCATAAAGTCCATTGAATAGACCTGAGTAGAATTTTGAGTAGACCTACTTAGGATTGTTCCCTCATTTTCCTACAACATACTCAACATGTTCATAAATTTCAGTTTATTAAAAATAATAACAACAGTAACCCTGTTAATTTGATAACTTCTTTATTGAGCTAAAAATTACTACATTCCATCCAGAGAGAATACATGGAAATAAAGTAAACATCTTGCTATTTTTGCTGACCCAAAGAACATAGCCTTTCCTGGCATGACTGTAAAATGGGGTACAAGATTGCCAAGAAGGAGATATCAAACATAGATTTCTCGTAAAGGGCGCTGTGGACAAAAGTGTCTCTGAAGAGTCAAACATAGATTTCACTGTGCAAAAGTCTCAATACTTTTTGTGTTTATATACTGAAACAGTGACTGGGATCCACAGCAGTAGCATGTATGTGCTAACCAGCATCACATGCAGTGCCAGATTTTTTAGTGTTCCATTTGCAAACAAAATTCTCTACTGCACATGCATGTGTCACTTCTTTGAATCCTAACCCACAGCTCCCCAGTCCCTGCCATGACCCATTTCAGACAGTTCAAAAATATGGACTATATAACATCTCAAGCGTTAGATAAATTTTGATGAGAAACTAAAAGATGATGATAATAAAATAAGAAATTAAGCCTACAAATGTTACTCACTAGCTGTGGGCTGTGTGGTATATAATTCTTGAATCAGGGCAACAGGATTTACGTTTTGAATACAACTGCAAAGAATTTTCTAACATCTCCTACTGTGATGGATGATACAGGGGGGCAGATAGGAGTTTCACATCTCTTGAAATGGGCAGATGGTAGTTGAATCGTTTTGCCTTGTATAAGAAATAGATGATATGAGACTGTTTTTCACTGTCATCTCTAGAATACATGTGCTATAACCAGCTGTCCTTAGTGAATGCTTTATATGTCTTTAAAATGTTTGTTTCCCATTGATACTGTAGTAGACTGCAGGAAGAGTATATTCATAGATACCAAACTATAAGATATTTTCTTTTACATAGAAATATTAGTGTTAAATAATAGGACATTGTTTTCTGTTTCACTACATTACAAACTTAGGTTCTCTTCCATTGTGCATTTTATCTAGAATATGCCATTTATTAAATTATAGTGTATTCAAGACAGACAAATTATATAAACCCCTTCATGATGTGAAAGCCATATATTTAATGGACCACCTCTCCCTATATGACATCATACATCAACTTGGGTCTACTCAACACATCAGGGTAGCTGTGTTAGTCCATTGTAGCAAAACAAAACAAAAGTACAGTGGCAGTTTAAACATTTATTTCAATATGAGCTTTCATGAGTCACCACTCACTTCTTCTTCAGATATTTTATTTATTTATTTATTTTTCATATTTTTTTTGCCTGCCCTTCCCGCAAGCGAGCTCAGGGCGGGTAACAACATAATAGCAATACAATACATACAATTAAAATATTAAAACACAATAGTAAGCATTCAAATTGGTTGTCACAGCCCAAGGACAAAAAGTGGCTGGTTGCAAGAGGTTATCTGGCCCGTTGGTACAGATAGATATAGCCAGCTGTTGTTGGATGGGAGACAGAAACCTCAGGAAGGCCATGCATGGATGCTTGCCCTGAGCCCACTTGCGTGGATATGTGAAAATCAAATGGAGGATCCTTCTTATGGAGGCAGATTACGAGGAGGAGGAGGAGGAGGAGGAGGAGGAGGAGTTAATAGGGCCTGTAGGCTGTTCCTTCTGTTTCAGAGCTTCAGTTGCAGAGAGGGGGGGCAATTTTAACCAATTCTGCCTCCTCAATGCAGTCTCCCTTCTACTCTACTTTTTGTCCATATGGATTCCACAACTCTGGGCATCCACTTCCTGAGAATTAAAAGGGACTGTTGGAGGGGGTGTGTGGAGGGGAAATCCATATCATCCCAAAACTTCTTGCATTCCATTGGACTGCAGTCCATTGAGACCATAATCAATATCCAAACCAAGAGAACGCTGCCACCGTGTACCAGCACTTATGTTACTAGCACCTCTTATTTTATGCTATGTGTTTTATTTAAATTTTAAGAACATAAGAGATGCCAATGTTGGATCAGGCCAAAGGCCCATCCAGTCCAACACTCTGTGTCACACAGTGGCCAGAAATACCAGTGCCATCAGGAGGTCCACCAGTGGGGCCAGGACGTTAGAAGCCCTCCCACTGTTGACCCCCCCAAGCATAATCATATCTTTCTGTTTTATATATATACACACACACATACATATATATGTTTGTAAGCCGCCTGATGATGATGATGATGATGATGATGATGATGATGATGATGATGATGATGATGATGATGATGATGATGATGATGATGATGATGATGATGATAGGAGGAGGACATATTTACCCAGGTTCTTATTTAGATTTGCTTCATTCAGGCCCAGAGCACTCATCACTTTGCTGTCAATTCACATTATGGTATAGAACCTTGTGTTGCTGTTAAGGACTTGCTGAACAGTAACCACAGATTCCAGTATACTTAATGCTCCAGGACAATGCTGAACAATCATTTTGCTCGCTAGGAAAGACTGGCAGATGCAGATTCCATTTTTAGTCATAGAGAATATTTGGCAGTTACAAGCACGTCACGTTGAAAATGTACACAAAAGTGTTATTATTTATATGGCTCTTTAATTGTGGAGTACTTTACAAGCCTTCTGTTGTTCCTGATTATCATATCTGTACATTATTATTATTATTATTTCTCACAGTCAGATATTTGACTAAAGATCTAGCCAGGTTCTTGGGAATTGCAAATGTATCTTCACTGGATTCTTGCTGTTCCAAACAACACTGTCTTCTTTAGCTGAGCTGGTGTTATAATTATTACTGCTACTACTACAAACTGGGGATGACAAGTTCTGCTGGACGTTGTTTGCGATGTTTGGGACTGAACTGGGGTTCAAACCAACCTTTCAGATCTCTCAGACTGAAATATTAAGGACACTTTCCTGGGAGTAAACTCCAGCGAATAGAATTTTCGTCTAGAATTCTGATGGAGTTCCACAACTTCTTTTTAAATCTGTCTCAAATTTCTGAAGGCCCAGTTCTTCAAGAGAGATTACCCATTCCAGTAGGTTTTAGCCTTGTAAATTCCTCCAACACCATGGCCATGCTTGGCCCATAACTTCTAGAAAGGCTTGTAGCTCTTTTGCAGAACTGAACACATTTTGTTCTGGTTGTATTGCACTACAGTCAAAACCAAAATTCCGACATCAAATTCTTTTTTGAGCAGAATTAGTGGTATCTTTAGCAAGTTTGGGGAGGAGAGAGACCTCAGTGAGGTATACTGCTGCAGAGTCCACTCTTCAAAGCAGCCATTTTCGCTAGAGGAATTGATCTCTGTAATCTGGAGATCAGTTGTAATTCTGGGATATCTCCAGGCAGGGTTGCCAGGTCTCACCTGGCTGCTGGTAAGGGGGTTCCAGGGTCCGTTCCAGGATCTTCTGGTTTGAGCCCAATTTTACCATAGAGTTTTGTCCAAAAACTAGAGCATCACCCCCCAACGTCAGCGATATAATGGCGTCACTTCCGGGTGACATCATTATGTTGTGTTTGGAGGCATTTGTGGGCATGGTTGCCCCTCACTGGCCAGCTGGCCAGCAGCAGAAAGGGGCCTGCAAAAGTGGGGGAACCCCCACCACGACAGGGGGCCTGGCAATTCTATCTCCAGGCTCCACGTGGAGGTTTGGAGCCCTATCCAGTTGTTGAAATACAAACCAAATACTATTATCTGTGTCCAGACAGAAAAAATAATAATTTGTCTGGAGAAAGGCCATTCTGATTCCATACACATTGCCTAAACCCTATCTTTTAAATAAAAAAACCCCTTTCAGTGTTCTTTTTAGGTCTTTTCATGTATCAGTATTAATTGCATACTTCCAATCTACATTTGGGTAATTCAAGTGTGTTTTTTCCTGATAAATGAGAAGCTAATTGGTGTGCTTTGAATAGTTATCAAGAAACATAGGTTACACTGTTTTGTGTGGATGTTTTTAATTTGCTCCTTTATAAATGTTTCTTCTTTCATTTTTTTTGTCCTGGCTCTGTTTTCTTTTAAAGCAACTTTTATATTGCAGACTGCTTCCTCCCCCCTCCCAGTTTCCACTTTTTAAGCCTTCCATACTCATGCTTTTCTCTGAAATGTTTTTGGTTGGGTCTTTGACTGTTGTCTTGCTGTGAACTTTGCAGATTTGTTTATGAGTGCCACCGTGCTTCTGCTGCATCTGCATTGTCATCGTGATGGTATTTTTTCTTTCTGTCTGTTTCTTCCACAGGAGTTTAACAAGTAATCTGCCCAATGTGAATCTACCAAATGTGAACCTCCCTAAAGTTCCAAATCTGCCAGTAAACATCCCACTAGGCATCCCCCAAATGCCTACCTTTTCTGCACCGTCATGGATGGCTGCTATATATGATGCTGAGTGTGTATTCAGTTCAATAGATCTCATTTAAATCAAAAAGTAATCTTGGCATGGATATGTATTGTTTATTTCTCTGTATTAAACATACAAATATAGCCTTTAAAAACTGCATGGATATATAATGGTCTAAAACCAAACATTTTCCAATTGTTCCTGCTTTCCTGAATGATTTCCAAAAAAAAGAAAAGAAATCCTTGTTCTAACAGAGGTTTCTGTTAAATATATGTCACCCTACATTGTTGTTCTTGGGGCCTTCTCCCAAGTAATCTAGCACTGCAGAAAAGGTTGCCAACCTTTAAAACAGGCCCTTCTAGTTGCCCCTTTAATATCAGTTTGACCTGCAGCAATTACTGGGTGATGTTATTCATCTCCATGCCATGAAAATCTTCAACGGTCCAGAAACACTGGAAATAGTAAGTTGGCGACCCTAATAGTGACTCCTCCCTTCCTTCATCTCTCCCTCCCTCCCTCCCTCCCTTCGCTGCATTTCTCCCCAGTGGGACCCAAAGCAGCTTACATCAGTGTTCTCCCTTCATCCATTTTATTCTCATGACAATAACAACCTTAGAAGGTTGGTTAGGCTGAAAGACAGTGATTGACCCAAGGTCAACCAGTAAGGCTCCCATGGCAGAGTAGAGATTTGAATCTGGTTCTTCCATATCCTAGTCCAGCTCTCCCACCCCTCTACCATGCTGGCTCTGCCTTAAACCCCACAGCTGATACAGCTAATGGAGTTCCTTCTATGAACATTTGCAGGCTTTCTAGTTTAACATCTGTCCTGCACACTTGAAGTCTAACAATTGCATGAATTATTGCATTAGTTTTTGATCAATCATTCCGGGAGCAGGAATCTGTATTTAAACTTCCAACTATCAGTGGTTTCCATTAAACTGCTGTGATTTTGAAAAAAGGATTAATGATTTGTTGGACAATAATATTTAATTTAAAAAATAGTTCCTTGTTTGGAAAAAAAATACTGACATTGTTATTTCTATGAAATGAAACTCATATTCATGCTAAGCTGACTTGTTGAAGGATAGACTAGGCAGTAAAATGTAAAAGTAACTGAGAATTTAATTTTCTCTCTGTGCATGCTCTGTGACATCGGTTTTGGTTTTGGGGGAGAGTTTGTTTTGTTTTGAAAAGATAAGAATCAAGGCCTCAAGCCTCTAGATGCTCACTTGTGAGTAAGTTTAATTGAACAGCTTGAATGGAAGATACTCGTGAATGCATGAATTTGGGTTCACAGCTCAAAATGTCATGAGGGAGCAGTCAAATTCATAAGCAACTATGCTCATCAGGTTGAAAGCAAACACTGTTGTTCTCCATGTAGAAAAACCCAGTGAGCTCTTCAAATAGGAAGCATAAAACAATCCACAGACTAATTTTTGTTTGAAAATTCTGGAACCAGATGGGTGTCATCATGTTGTAATAACAAATACAAGTTACTGCATTCCTGGGTATCTAATTGCTTAAAACAAAAACACTCTGTGTTCCAAAAGCAGGGTTTAGCTTTTCTTTTCTTTTTTTAAAGGTAATTATTCCCAGTATAGCTTTAAATCTAAATAAACAGAAGTGATGCTAGTGAAATGGGTACATGCTACTTCTTTGATTAACAAGCCATTAAAGAAAATGCCTGATTCTCTATCTTTTCATTGACCCCAGCTTTCTTCTGCCCATTAAGGACATGTTTCAGTGTTTTCACACCCTTATGTAGATATGTCTGTTTCCTACAACTGCATCCGTGCATTCTTTGAATAAATACTTCGGGGAGCACAGGATTAAAAGGAACGCTCTTGGCATGTTGGGAGTATGGTTTTCACCTTGCAGTAGCCACCTGTGCATTTAGCGCTATTTTCCCTTCTGTAGCATTAACTCAATGCAGCTGGCATCTGTCACAATAGAAATACCCTTTCTCATTTGTTTCTATAGACGATGTCAGCATGACCTGGTAATGCATGGTGTGTTAAATATATCTTATAAATTACTGTGTTAGCATTAGTGGTATGCGAGGAGTGGGGTAAAAGTTTCCTTGGTCATAATCATGGGGGGGGGGGGATTGAGAGACAAGGAGAAAGGCTAATAGATGCATAATTTCTCAGCTCAAACCAAACCATGTATTATATCTTGTAAGTAGAGGTATTTAACTCTAGCTGAAGAGAATTCTAATAAGCGACAAAAGGAGATGTCTCCAAGAAGATCTGGGTAAGATAACCTGCACTATCAAAGGAATCTAGTTGCAAATATATATATATATATTTCAGTGGCCTTGATCTTTCAAAAACAATTCCTGACTAAAAAGAGGTGGAACAGTCAATGAAGCCAAACCCTTTTGAGATATGTGAAAGGATCTCTCAGTGTTAATCGATCAATTGCCTTACTCTGATTTCTTTTCAGCTGTTCAAAAAGCGCGTCCTCGCTCACCACTTGTTAGCACTGTTTTGTTTCCCTTAAAAGTCTTGGGCAAGGGGCAGAAGGAAGAGAACAAATCTTTTAGAACACGCAATTGGGGGGGGGGGGGAGAATTAAATGCATGAATCCAAAACCTTAATAACTGCATACAACTGTGTATGGCGGTTATTATCAGTCAGAAATTACCCTCCATATTGTAAAGCCTTAACTTCAACAACTACATAAGCCACTGTAGTTATTGACTAAGGCTGTTTTGTTTTTGTTTATGTTTACCATATGCACCGTTTTCGGAGAAACGTCTATACCTGTCTGATCTGGAAAGACTTGTAACTGCTAGATAGACTAGAAAACTTGTATGGCTAAAAGTTGTATGGCAAAACCCTGATGATGGAGATTCTCTCTGGCATTGTTCTGTGTCTCTAACCACTGTTAAGTCCCATTACATGTGCAAAAACAATCTCCACATCAGGTTTCCAAAAACCAGGATATAGGTTGTAACTTCTGTCATTTGTATTTTCATTTTATCCTTCCAGCAATGGATCAGGAACATCAGAAGATCTGTTTTGGAAACTTGATGCCTTACAGACCTTCATCAGGGATTTACATTGGCCTGAGGAAGAATTTGGGAAACACCTAGAGCAACGCTTAAAACTTATGGCTAGTGATATGATTGAGTCCTGTGTGAAAAGGTACGTCTGAACAACTGGATACAAACAGTTCCCTGCGTTGATAAGTGTCAATTTAATCCTAACTGCCCTGATCATATGCAGGGGTGCCAAGAGCCATGATGGGCCCCCAGACAAAGATTCCCCCTCCCCCTCAATATGAGCCTAATCCAAATCATGTGTCTGATTTTGTAATTTTATATCTGCACACACACTTATATGTGTACCAATATAGGGTGCACTTCCTACATCTGATGAAGAGACCTCTAGTCCACAAAAACTTCATGTCACGATAAATCTTTAGTAAGTAAATGAGTAAGAAATCTATTGCATTTTAACCTTGTACCTTTACCTAGCACAAAAGCAGGGGCAAACTGATTATGCAGTGGTACTGAATGAATGGAGCTGCGGTGGCTCAAGTGGTTAAGACGCTGAACTGCAGGCTGAGGAAGGCCGGTAGTTCAGCAGTTCGAGACCCGAGTGTGCCGCATGACAGAGTGAGCTCCCGTCTCTAGTTCCATCTCCTGCCAACCTAGCAGTTCGAAAGCAAGAAATTGCAAGTAGATAAATAGGTACCACTTCAGTGGGAAGGTAACAGTGTTCCATGCGCCTTGGTGTTTAGTCATGCCGGCCACATGACCACGGAAATGTCTTTGGACAGCGCTGGCTCTTCGGCTTTGAAACAGAGATGAGCACCGCAACCCTAGAGTCGGACTCGACTGGCTTTCGACTGGCCTTTACCTTTACTGAATGAAAAGTGCTGGGAGCACTGATGGGCTGACAGATTTTCTAAAAAGATTATGTAATTATCATACAACATGAAGCTTAATATCTACAGTAGCAAAGCAGCATTTACAAGAGGATAGTAGATATTCCACCAGTACAACAATAACAATGTTATTGGTGATGTACAACCAACAAAGGATGAGATGGTTGGACAGTGTCATCGACGCAACGAACATGAAATTGAGCCAACTTCAGAGGACAGCGGAAGACAGGAGGGCCTGGCGGGAGCTGGTCCATGGGGTCGCGAAGAGTCGTACTCGACTGTGCGACTGAACAACAACAACAATCAATACAATAGCAACAAAAACAACCCACTGGGAGGGGAAAAGGAGTTCTAACTTCTGTCCCACATCTGTAACCACTAAGACAGATGAACATTCTGTTTTTGTTGTTCAGTTGCACAGTCGAGTCCAACTCTTTGCGACCCCATGGACCAGATCACGCCAGGCCTTCCTGTCTTCCGCCATCCTCTGAAGTTTGCTCAATTTCACGTTCGTTGCATTTATGACATTCTGTTACCAAGCATGTAAAAGGTGGGGGGCTTTAATAAATTATGGGAAATTAATAACACACACCTTCCTGTCCATAATATTAACAAGGTTTTGCTTCTATACTGCTATTAAGTACATTCTAAGTTGCTAACCAGGAAAGGGATGAGAAGAAGTTGAGATCAAGACTGACAAATAAAGGGGGAGGGATTAGAAGGGGGAGTGAAATGGTGATCATAAAAGCAAGAGAGCAAAATTAAGGATGAGAAAAGTGTGGAAAAGAGGAGGAGCAATTAAGATGAAAGGTTGTTTTATTTTCTGCAACACACTAACAGCACTAACCCTTTACCCCTGGATGAGCAGACAAAAGTATGGAGCTGGGGCTGGGTGGTAGGAAAGGAAGAGGGAAACAGACTGCTGGAAACAATGTTGTTAGGAAGCTGCATCCTGGCAATGTCTGTAGCAGCCATGTAGGGTTGCCAGGCCCCCAGTCTTACCAAGGGAACCCCTGATCTTCAGGGTTCTAATCTGCCAGCGGCTGGCTGGCCGGTGAAGGAAGCCCCACCCCAAAGAGGCCCACTGTGCATCAACATGGTCAGCGTAATGATGTCACACAGAAGTGACGTCATCCAACTGGGGACATCATGCATCGATGCTCTAGCATTTTGACCAAAAACTCTATGGTAGCCATAGAGTTTTGCACAAAATGCTAGAGCGTTAGTGTGCAATGTCCCCAGCATGATGACATCACTTCCATGCGGCGTCATTACAGTAGTGATGTCACACACAGCTATGTAAAAAAAAAACCTTACGGCTCCCTCCCACCCACCCCCCGCCACCAGGACAATCGAACTTGGCAACTCTACAGCCATGATCTGTGCTGGTTGGTCTTTCCATGCTCCAGTGCTGGCTTGGTTGATGGGTTTAGCAGGTTATGCAATTTGCCAGTGTTTGCTTCCTTGTTGTAAACTTTGTAGAAAGTCATGGTGAGCAGACCATCAGAGCTACATCTGTTTCCTGTGCTCTGCCTTCACTGCTCTCTCAGTGGCTACAGTGCAAAACTGTATTAGAAGTAAAATATATCGAGATACATTTGCTGAATACAGCATGACACTGACCTCAGGTGCCCTTCAGCTGACTTGGGCCCCAGGAATTTTGTCCCCCCCCCCACAATCTCCCCCTGTCTCAGTGCCCCTGATCGTATGTCTTTTATCAGTTGTTCTTCACTCATCTTTTCTTTTATTCCTCTCTAAATTAAGGTTGGAGGTGCTGACTAGACTACAGTCTAGATCAGTGCATTTCAACCTGAGCTGTGTGGTATTCTGTGTTTCCTTCAAAGTTCAGGATAAGTTCCACAACAAAGTAACTTATTAGCAGTGGACAGGCTTCTCTCAAAGTTTGTCCAAAATAATAAGTTTGGAACAATGTTTATTAAAACTGCTTTTCAAGTTGGAGCTGAACGCGAGTGAAAACACAGGGCTGCCCTGAAAAAAAAAACAGTGCTATGTTCAGTTCAGAAATGTATTACAACCAGAGGTCATTTCGGGGGGGGGGAACGTGGGGGAACACAGTTCCCCCGGGTGAGGTGCGGGTGGGCGGGGCACACGATGAAGCCCCGCCCCCCGCTTCCGGCCGCCCCGCTTCCAGCCCTCATTCAGCCAGGAGGAGGCAGGAGAAGAGGGAGGGTAAATTGCTTCCTCCTCGCCTCTCCCCACCCCTGCCTGCCTGGGGCCAGGGAGGCCTTTGCAGGGCTTCCTCGCACTCCCGCCAGCCTTGCAGGTCCACCGCCGGGCCCCTGATGTCAGGGGGTGTGGCATATGCTAATGAGTTATGCTAATGAGTTCCCCTAGCTCTTTTTCTACGAAATGACCCCTGATTACAACTCATCACATGACATGGCATTCCAAGGCTATGAATTCCCCACCTCCTTCCCCACATTATTGACTGTTGCCTGGGAGGCTCCAAAACCTACATGGCCGACTTCGGCAGCAGTCCAGTGTCTTTATGTTGTCTTCTTCTGCCCTCGGTGGATATCAGATTGCAACAGAATAAATTTTTATCAGGGCTACTGAACCTGGCAGTGTTTGTGTGCATGATTATACATTCATTTTAAACTACCTGTTTTGCAGTGGAACCTGAGGAGGTGTTATATATTTATTCGTCAAACGAAACAACTTATAGTAGCTTGAGAAGGGTTCAGGCAAACAAAACCCTATGAAAAGATTAAAAATGCAATAATTCAGCATTACCTTAGAGTCAAGCAATTAACAGGTTTATATAATTACTGCTTAGCACTGAGCACCCATACAGCGTTTTATCATTCTGTGAGTTTTCTGTTTGGTTCCTGGTAAAAAATCAGCTATAAATTACTTAATACTGCCATATTATAGGTGTGCATTCTCATCACTTTTCTTGATAGCTTCGTCACACTGTTTAATAAACATGTGAATAAATATGTGACATGGTTTCTCTTGGCTCTTACATACCATATAAATAAAATCCTGAGAAGTACCTTTTAAATCAAAAGTCGTTTTCATATTACATTAAAAGATTTATTGTCAGGCTGTTCTCAAGGCAAGATTGATCATATCTGGGTATTCCTAGCATCTTTGACTGAGACAGCTATTACTGGCCCGGTGTGGCAAGTGTCCTATGTATGTAGGTGCTGTCAAGTCACAACTGACTTACTGAGACCCCAGCAAGGGGCTTTCAAGGCAAGTAAGAAGAAGAGGTGGCTTGCCATTGCCTTCCTCACCTAGAGTATTTTGTTCAGTTTTGGACACCACAATTTAAGAAGAATATAGAGGAGAGCAATGAAGATGGTGAGGGGTCTGGAGACCAAGTCCTATGAGGAAGGGTTGAAGGAGCTAGGTATGTTTAGCCTGGAGAGGAGATGACTGAGAGGTGATATGATAACCATCTTCAAGTACTTGAAGGGCTGTCATCTAGAGGATGGTACGGAGTTGTTTTCTGTCGCCACAGAAGGTTGGACCAGAACCAACAGGTTGAAATTAAATCAGAAGAGTTTTCGGCTAAACATTATGAAGAACTTCTTACAGTTAGAGCAGTTCCTCAGTGGAACAGGCTTCCTCGGGAGGTGGTGGGCTCTCCTTTTGTAGCTTTTCAAACAGAGGCTAGATGGCCATCTGACAGCAATGCGGATTCTGTGAACCTAGGGAGATCATGAGAGGGAGGGCAGGAAGGGTTGCCTCAGTGCTTAGTTCTTGTGGCCCTTTCTTACATCCCCAGGGAAATTCCTGACTTTGGGGTCAGGAAGCAATTTTTCTCCAGGCTGGTTTGGCCAGAGATCCTGGAGGTTTTTTGTTATCTTCTGGGTGTGGAACAGCAGTCACTGAGGGTGTGGAGGGGGAGGTATTTGTGAATTTCCTGCCTTGTACAGGGGAGTGAACTAGATGGCCCTGGAGGTCCCTTCCAACTCTATGATTCTGATTCCTCTGCAGAGTCTTCCTTGGTGGTCCTCCATCCAAGCACCAACCCGCTTTGCTCCCAAGATCTCATCAGAGCTACACCATGCTACCTTCCCTCCTAGCAGGTTTCTTAGTTCCACATAATTTTCTTCTTGCCTGCCTGAAAACTGGTTCTGTGAAACTTGAAATCTTGGTGCAATACACTGTCCTCACAGCTGTTCATGTTCTTTCATTACTGCATTATGGAACTCGTAGCAGACTGCAGCGCTAACGCTGCCCTAAAAGTTTTAGAATGTTTCATTGATTGAAGAATTGTTACCTGCAATTTGTAAAAGTTCAAAATAAATATGTTCTTTTTTCTGCCACCTTTAATAGAACCAGGATTGCCTTTGAAGTAAAGCTACAAAAAACAAGCCGGTCAACAGATTTCAGAGTCCCTCAGTCAATATGCACCATGTTTAATGTTATGGTTGATGCCAAAGCTCAGTCGACAAAACTTTGCAGTATGGAAATGGGCCAAGAGGTAATACTAGTTTTGTTTAATTGTTTAAAGGGGGAGGGGAATACCATCTCATATTCTGCTGGTTTCAGAAACATTCTAACGGTTGTGGATTTAGTCTTTCATATATATAGACTATGCAGATGAATATGCAGGGTCACTCCATCAAACAAACCTCCATAATGAATGTGGACACTCAGAACTCCAGTCACTTAAAAGTGACTGTTGGCAAGAACTGTGGTATGCACAAGGTACCTCTAAAGCCTATTTATGCATGATAATATTTTATGTTGAGTCATTAACTCCACCTTGGAACAAGATGTGTATTTGCCAGACATATTCACATGCAGTCACTAGATTGCCAAAGGTCCTGTGCAGATGATCATCAGGAAAAGAACCCCCACTCCCCAAGAACCGAAAGAATGTGAACAAAACCTCATAAGGCCTCCCTCAGTGAGGGGAAAAAAATTGGTCAAGCCACTTGCTTCCTAAGTGAGATCCAGTTCCACCTGATTTGGCGTCTCCAGAACTATGCTTGTAATTCTTCCAGGTTCTTAATGACTCAAAAGGTTCCAAACTGGTCCAGTTTTTTTTCATCTGCTGGTCTAATTTGTTTTACTTCTCGAGACATTGTTGCAGCTTGAAATCGTCCACATGTGATGTTATAAAGTAGAAAGACATGCTGAATTGGGCTAGTTGAAATGCACCATCATAATCTGTCTTTGCTCTGAAAACTTTAAACAGTGTTCAACATTTTTCATCAGTTTTTTTAAAAGTCAAGTCCTGGATTCTCCTGTCTTATTTCCAGTAGCCTATGTTGGCTCCTCCACAAGGTCGCTCACTGCAGCTTCTCATGCTCTGAATCCGTGTCAGATGGGTTACCAATTTTTTTGGGGGTGTTAAAATATTTACCTCATTCTAATGTTTACAAGGTCTGATCCAGAGCCCACTGGGTTCAAGGAGAGACTTTGCTTTGATTGCAGTGATAATTGGATCTGGACCTTCAGTTTTCATTTCCTTTTTTGTTTGTTTGGTATGACATTTGTTCTTTCAGCTACTTCCTGTTATTTAGCCTGGGGCCACAACTTTTCTCTTATGGGCACTAAAACCTTCCCTTGACAATGTCAAAGCATGTACATAAATGAACTCCCATTACCCAATGCCAGAAATTAGCTTATTCACTAGATCTGTAGAATTTGCCTTATTTCTTCATTTTGATCCCTACTCTTCGTTCTCACCACTGGCCACATGGAAAAATTCACCTTCGTTTGCCTTCATATAACTTAAACTGTAACCCTAAAGATATTTACTTAGGAACAAATCCAGTTTAAAACTATCAACTTACTTCCAGCCTAAACATGGTTAAGATTGGTCTGTCAGTTGTGAAAATTAAGTTATTAGTGATATGAAAGGTGAAATTTGGGGACACAGTATAATAAAATATGAACAGTAAACCACACATACATTAAAAGCATTTAGACAATGGATGATAGATCCAGTTTAGCTCTCTTACAACGGTCATTAAAAGATCCTTGTAGATACAGAAATTAGATCCTCTGTATTTGGGAAATGTTTTCCAATGGTAAAGAAAGAAGAAACTAAAGGCAGAGCTACCTATTTGACTGGAAACAGGAAAACCAAAGTCCCATGCCAATGCACAGAGCTATACTTTCAAAGAAGAAGGGGTAGGGATGGGCCTAGCATTTCCCCTCCTGTGCTAATATTTTCACCGTCCTTTTTTCATACAAGAAGGGAAAGGGAATGGACAGAAAGAGGAGTTTCAGAGAAGAAGAAGCAGGTGCAAGAAGGGTTAAGCCTCCATTCCCCTACCCCCCGCTGTTGCTTTCAGCATCATGTTTCAGCATTAAATATGGAGGTGGAGATCTTTTCTCTTTTGCCAAATGTGTACTCCCAGGCTCTAGAATCCCACATACAGTATCATCATTACTCTCCAAAGAGTTTCTGAAGTACATAATATGCAGATGATGTGAAGGAAGCATGTGGTAGCAGAATCTGATAAGCCAAGGAGGGGAAGAGAAAATATGGCTACCATAGACAAGGACATATGAGTTATGTTCTCACTACATCACATCCCCACACTTAGTAATATCCTTGGAAGAACATCATAACAGCAAACAGCATGAAATCTAGCTCCCATCAAACAAACACAGGACAGCATGGCAACTGTACATATTGTTAGAATTAACTACAGAAGGATCTGAAATGTTTGCAGAAGTCAGGAATAGCATCCTTTCAGTTTGTTCAGCTTTTCACAGAGCTTTTCCAAAGTGCATCATAGTTAAGCTGTTGCAAACCAATTATTTCATATCGTCAACATTCCTACAAGTTATAATTTTTTAAAAAAATTATGTATAACCAAGACACATTGGTGGAACAACACAAGGACTGAAGACAGTTCCAATCCTTTTCATTATCTCTTCTTCAACAGTGAAGATGAGGAAAATAAGACAGTCCTGCAGGGACAAATACTTTATGATTAAATGCTTCAGTACAAAGCCTTGATATAATCAGACTGCACAAGAGTTACAAGACAGTTAAAAAGTCTGTGGCCAGGCAAAAGGTCAAAAGATTTGTAGTAGTCCTTGTGTACAACTGGGGGCACAGTAAGCCAAAAAACCCTGATGGATGGGTTGGAAGATTGGAGAATAAACTGGCAGATACAACAGAGCAGTCTAGTACCTTCCTTTTTCAATATGTTGCTGAAGGACAACAGCAGACCCTAAAGGTTTATTATAGGAGAAAATGGGAGGTGGTTCGTTCTTAATGGTCACCTAACTGCTTCAGGATGGTTCATAAGAACATAAGAGACGCCAATGTTGGATCAGGCCAAAGGCCCATCCAGTCCAACACTCTGTATCACACAGTGGCCAGAAATACCAGTGCCATCAGGAGGTCCACCAATGGGGCCAGGACAGAAGCCCTCCCACTGGTTGTTCAGCCCACGGTTTTTGCTACTTGTCTCAAAGTTCCTCTTGTACGCATTTCCCCCAGTATCACAATGTGTAAACAGGATCTCTCAGCATTCCTGAACCCTGCAGTGCCTGATAAATGCAACCTGCCTATTGTTTCAGGTGGGTAGCCATGTTGATCTGCAGTAGAAGAAAAAAGGCAAGGCAAAAATAAAGAAAAAGAAATGAAACGGTGCGGGGGAAACTTGAGTATTTATTGTGCCCCCAGTTGTACACAAGGACTACTACAAATTACAGAATGGTGCAGAGAAAAATTGAATATTTATTAGCCTTTGCTCCAGTGTACGTACGGGAATGGAACGAAAAAGAATCTGAAAGATTCCCCTTGACGAAGCTGTACGTGAAACCCGTAGGGGATGCGTAACTGATAAAGATTCCATTTCCCTCTGCACCATTTTGTTTCTTTTTCTTCATTCTGCAGTAGAAGAGCAAGAGTCGAGTCCTGTAGCACCTTAGAAACCAAGAAGATGTCCAGGGTATAAGCTTTTGAGACTCAAAGCTCCCTTGATCAGATACCTACCTGTAACTTTCCAAAATAAATAGTAACATTCTGAGTTACTAATAAATGGTCTAGGCCTTATCCATATACCTTGGTTGGGAGTTCTGTAGTCTTAACTACTTGTACATGCTGTAGAAAATTTTATTCTGTAGGTTTTTAATTTGCCATTTCTCTGTTGCATCGGATTCATTCCTCATCAGGTATATCAAAAACCCTGCCTCAGTTGCCCCTGCCGCCCCCACTTTACTCAATTCGCCACTCATGTTATTCTTGCAAATCTATGACCCATCATGGTTATTGACAAGCAGCAATTCAGTCGCACAAAGAATCAGCCTTAATCTTAGGTACTCCACATGTGCCTCTTTGAGTAGGTATTGACACTGTAGTGGAGAGAGCGTATAACTATTGTATGACGGAGCAGTGGTTGTGGTATGATTTTTAACAGATAGCTTAATAAATAGACCTGTGAATCAGATGTAAATTATCAGTGTATACGTTACTGTTTAGGACTGCAGAGTTTCATGTGCCCCTCCTTTTTTCCATCTCTTGTTTTCTTTTGTCTTTGTTTTAATTATTTCCTAACTTATCCTAGTCACTCATACTACTTCATTTTTTCTTTTTCTCCTATTCTTCTCAGAGGTGAATGACCACTAATCATAGAGTAACGGGATGAAAAGGATCCTAGTATTTAAGCAATAGTAACATTAATTAAACCAACATCTCCCTCTGGCCAACCTGCAAAACAGTTCCAAAATGATATAGTAGTTAGCAGTGGGGCTAGCAGAGCAGTTCTGTCTCATCCTAGCGACATCGCTTGCTATAGGGATGTTTTGCTATTCCCTAAACCACCTGAGCTCTTGGCAGTTGAAATGTACTGGGTTCCAGACACATAGCCGAGTGATTTCAGCTCATGATTTATTAGCAGATAGAAATTGAGACAAGAAAGCGGGCCCCAGGGGCCTGCTTATATGCCGGTTCCAAACCACCCCCAACACCTGTGATCAGTGTTCCCTCTAAGCTGAGTTAGTGTGAGCTAGATCACAGTTTTTTAGCCTCTGGCTCACACATTTTTGTCTCAGCTCAGGAAGGCAGGCTCCAGAACACACTAATTTATGCAGTAGCCAAATCACCTGCTCACAACTTTAATGCCAGTAGCTCACAAAGTAGAATTTTTGCTCACAGGACTCTACAGCTTAGAGGGAACATTGCCCGTGATTGGTCTATTTACAGTGCCCACATAACCATAGGTCCTTACTAGGATCCAGATCGACCGATAAGTCCGTTCTAGGATCCTCAGCGTCCATTGTTCTAGATCATGAAGCTCCATTTGTTCGTTAGACCATGTGCGCGGTCCTTTGTTAGAACATAACACCCCTCCCCTCATAGTCCGGTTTTCCCTCCAACAAACAAAGTCTTTGAGGTAGGTGGGCCTCCACTGTTCCCTGGTTGAGCGGCGTAGCTCAGGGCCCGGGTTCGCTTGATCAAGCCAGGTTACCGGTTGCTCCAGGGGGCCTCCTTTCTGCTCGGTTGGGGCC